GATGGGAATCTGGTTAGATTCGATATCAGCCTCGTCGTTCCCAACTCGCCTCCAACGTCTGGTTACCGAAGTAACTACTTTGATTTCCAGTCTACCTACCCACGTTGTGAATTGCCGTAATGCAAGCTGAGTTCGAATAAGGGTGATATCGCACAAGTATGTGTAAAATAAAATAAAATAACAACTCGAAAAGTTCAAATGTGTTAAAAAAGGATAACAATATTTTATATCTGGTTGCTGGATACAGGACAGCTTCTATTTCCCAACCCGCTATATGGATACGTGACACGTTGTTTTTGTTCTGCGATTCTTAACATCTTAAGTTGTCTGTTCTTTAAGAAACTGGTTCTTGGTGTGTCTTCAGGCGATATTCGTAAAACTTGTTTTGGTGGTGTGAGTCTAAGTTGTTCTTCAAAAATAAATTGTTCTTGGTTAGAAGTTGAGGCCGAGAATGCGTGAATCTCAGTCAGCTTCCTGTCAAGCGGGTCTTCAGAGCTCTCAGCTCAACTGAAAACTGCAACTGCTTGCCTGTCTGTCTCCAACCCCAACTGCGAACTTAACTGCGAACTGCCTTCTTACTCGTTGCGACTCTGCTTATATGGACGCCGACCAGAACCGGGGTGGGCCTGTCGGGGTTTGAGGTTCCTTGATAATTCTAAATCCGTATTAAGGGTTTTTCTTTGTTTTCGGTCAGGAAGAATTATTATTTCCATTTTTGGAAGTCTTTCGTCCTCCCCAATTCTTCCTTTCTCATTTTGGTATCTCACCCATACCCTTAGAGGGTGTCAACGGGTTTCCCCTCTCTCTCACAGTGGCATCTTACACCGATCCATTCAGGGGGGGCATTAACAGGCCTCCCCTCCTTCTTCACATGATTACCTTCGCCTGCCGCTCACGCCACCATTCAGCCAATGGCCGCCCAGCAGTGTGGGTGTGGCCAGACTGGCCTCGGTTTAAAAAAAATCTTGCTCAAAGAAAAAAAAAATATCTTCTCTTTTTCTTTTCTTTCTTTTCTTCGAGGAGACCTCACACGACTCTTAGGATGGTCTCCGAACTTCATCTGACGAGATTTTCGCCAATTATCTGTTCCGATAAAATAATTTTTATCATGTCCAGGTTTTGACATGAAACAGGTGCCTTTTCTAAACGACATCTCCGTAGATAGCTAATGTTTTAATCTGTCTTTCTTTGTACTCTGGGTGGTCCAAGAGACATTTTGGTTTCGGTCAGAGCATGACCTAATTATCATTATCTCCCAGTTTCTGTTTCGTAGGCCACTTGACTAACTTGAAATTTTCCTTATTGCCATGGGCAGATAGCTATATAGGTGCGTCGTCATAAATCAAATTAAATCCGGTGCCTTACTCTCTTCGGTAATGAAAATAAAATCTTTCCACTTTTCTTTGTTAAAAAAATAACATCGCTTAGTGTCCTTTTCGTGATGGCTTTTTATCACCTAAATTTATTTCTCACCTTTTCTTTTTTTCTTTCTTTCTCGCAACCCTAAATAATGTGACATAGATACCCATATTTGAGACGATACCCCATTTTTTTTTTTTTTTAAGAAACAACAAAAAAATCAGTGTTTACTTCCTTTACTGGCCTGCTCACGCGGAAAATGTTTGTCTACTTAAATCTATCCACTAAAAATAACGTCCGAAATATATATATATATATATATATATATATATGTGTGTGTGTGTGTGTGTATTTATATATATATATATACACATGTATATATATATATATATATATATATGTATATATATATATATGTATATAAGTTTGATTTATATATATATGTTTGATTGATATAAAATAAAGTTAAATATATTATATCCATTGTAGATCAATAAATCCGTAGCTTTACAACCTTATTAACTCATCCTCAGTAATGGGTTATGTACATTGACAAAGAAGAAAATTACTTTTGAAATCTAAGTATTTGGTGTTGTAAACATATGATTTTACTTTATTTTACTACGTAGGTATTGATTCTGCTTTGTAAATATATGATTACACTGTATATATATATATATATATATATATATATATATATATATATATATATATATATATATATATATAGAGAGAGAGAGAGAGAGAGGGAGATAAATACAATATATATGAAGCCAAAGCTATCAAAATAGCCAAATTTGTTTTTGTACGTTTTCAGATATCTCAATTGTGGGTCTGTATTTGCAGTAGACATAATCAATTAAAACGTTTCGATATTCTGTGGTAACTTTCTCTGAAGCCGAAATACACAAAAGGCGGGAAATGGTAGGAACGAAATCTATTACTTTTGAACAAGATAGATAAAATATATACGTATATCTGACCTTTTGGATCGTGGTAGACAGGTGTTTCTTACAATGTCAAAATATAGCGTCCATGATACAAGGTCTAAACAAATCGATCATAGTCTCACTCTAGCTGCCTTTTCTAGTTTACATTCCACACACACGCACACACACACACATGTACTGTCGCTGCTACACAAACTCTCAAGCACACACACCAAATGCGCACAGATAAAGGACAAATTTAGATCATTAGAAAATCAAGCATTTCTTTTCTCCCCGGAATCCATCCTCCAGATCTGCAAATCAACAATTCGCCCTTGCATGGAGTATCCCTGCCATATATGGTCTGGAGCCCCTTCTGTTTGCCTCTGTGTTCTTGATAGGCTCCAGAGGCGGATATGCAATATAATTGACCCTGCTCTGGCATCTCGTCTACAGTCACCTCTCTCTGTCTTTTACAAACACTTTCATGGCAATTGCTCCGAGGAGCTGCATTCAAGCGCCCTACAAGACTGGCATCCCGCTCTCACACTTTCACTGTCGAAACTTCTAAATGTGGCCGTCTCTTCAATAGCTTTATGTCTCGCACCTCTCGCCTGTGGAACTCCCTTCCCTATTCCAGTTTCCCTGAGAGCTATAATCTCCAGCTATTCAAATGTAATGTCAATCGACATCTCCAGTTGCCTTGGTCTATCCACTACCCTCATCCTTTCTTCTATCACTCCTATCTGATATTGCTCTAAACTTTCTGTAACCCCTTGCGTCCTAGTGGCTTCCCGCCTTGCTTGGGGTGAAATGCTTAAATATATATATATATATATATATTTATATATATATATATATATATATATATATTTCAATCGCAATTTCCGTTTACTTCCTTACTGACTGCCAACCTTTTAAGCGATAATCATCTATCCACTACCCTTCTCCACATCCTTTCCTCTATCACTCCTATCTGATCTTGCTCCAAATTTTCTGTAACCCCTTGCGTCCTAGTGGCTTCTCGCCTTGTTTGGGGTGAAACGCTTAAAAAACAAAAATAAAAATATGGAATTTGTTCATTTTTTAACGGCATATCAACTTCTTATGGGTCATTAAATGCCAAAATTTAATTTCCTTGTGAGATTTGAAATAATATGAATATATATTATTCTGCTTTCCCAATTGAATACATGGCAGATGTTACAAAAGCTTCTGCATAAACATATTTGTGTGAACATAATTACTAGAAGCAGTGGTTTTTTGTTTTTTAAAGTTTCATTTTGGAATCCAGTTGGATTTAAGAAATTTTAGGATAATATATGGATTAATGCCATGGAATCTCATGTACGTTTATTTTCTTTAGCGGCATATCAACCCCTATTGGTTATCTAATGCCGGAATCTAAGTAATTTGAACACAATTTTAAGGCTTCAATTAAATGCATTTTGAACGCAAATGTATACCTTCAACTACAGATAAAATGTATTGTTAGTCATATATTGTAATTTTTTATATACAAATATATTGCTAGTATTTTTACTATTAAGATGTATGTTTATACTTTCAAATTTTTTTGTTGGGTGTGGGCGCTCAATATTTGCCCATATCGAGAACCCTAACAAATGCTACCAACCCAGGCCAGAGTGAACCTGGGAACAACTGCAATTAAGAAGCGGTTCCAGGCTCCACGAAATCTCCAATATCCCGATCGGAGGCCTTGCTGTCGGATGTAGTATATTGTTATACCACGGACTGCATATAAATTTCAGTAACTTTATATTATAAAAATTGACGTTGTGGCAACAAGGCGAACAACAACGAGATTCAATACTGCAAACACTTTAATTACACGTTAGTACAAGCGGCGCCGTTGCTCGTACAAGTGATATTTAGACGATCACCCAAAACGCAAACGCAATGTGACAGAAGGCCGAGTTTAACGTAGGTTTGCCGGCAGTACCGTGGAAAAATTCTCAAGCTACTTCAATACTTCCCCCTTTGGCGATGCCTTAGGCGCCAGGTAATAACCCCAGTCCCTCTCCCACGTTTGTTCATGAATTTGTTAACACAGTATTTGTGAATTCAATCGCTAGGCCGGGCAGTGTGTGTCATTGGACTCAGTGGAAACAGGCCGAACAATAACTGAGCTGTACTAAAAATAAGAACTACACGAGATATCCCTAGACATGATCAATAGAACAAGAACAGTCTACCCACGTAGATTAAGATCAGGATTACCTGTGGGTTACGCAGACCGATATACACCTTATGAAGGCCAGAGAGTACAACGGCCGAAAGGTTTTGATAGCAACAACAAAGTTGGAGACAACAGACCAAATGAAAATAATGTAAATAATTTTGATTTCCCTTAAAAATACAAATGTAATTCTCAAATTGCATTTATATTGCTTAGTTCTGTCTGGTATATAAATAAAAGGATCTACTAGACAGTAATAATCAATATTTACTCCATTAGCCCCAAGTTTTAACTCAGTTTTTTTTTTTTTTCGAACAACTCAAATCTACATATTGGGTGCAACAGATCGTTGTCAAACCATTATTAATTCTCAATTAGTTGAATTTCTTCACTTTGACATTCAGAGCACTGGGAAGAAATCACATCGTATCTGTACGGGTCGACCGGCCACACGATGCTTTGTTTTAATTAGACAGTCGGATTCCCCCGGTCCGTACCAGTTCAGAGTCGACCGTTCGCTGCCGGACGAACGCCCCCACGCCGAGAGAGACGCTGAGCAACGGGCGGGGTAGGCGCGCGTGCAAGTCGCCTCCGCGCGAACGCAGGTTGAGGTTTTCACGCGCCGCTTACCCGAAGAGGCGCTGGAAAACGTGGTGCTCCACGAAAAGCCGGACGAGGAGCCGTTTTGCTCGCCGGCTGACGTGTCGGTAGCGACGGGGTGGCGCCGCGAGCGGAGACCCGTAGCGCATACGACGCGCGAGGCGCGAAACGGGAAGAGCAGACAGAGAAAAGAGTGAAAGACGACGAGCGTAGGCGGCGAAGAACGGGTTGACGCGGGGGTCGTGAACGGCGCATCGCGCAAAGACGACAACCAGAGAAGAGCCGCCGCCAGTTGCACGAACGCGCGCGCCCGTCAACCCGACCCGATAACATCCGCCTTCCGCGTACCTGCGACCCGACCCAAACGCGCAAGACCGCGACGCCGCAAGACCGACGGACCGCAACGTCCGTTTCAACACAGTAATCATGCTCCAGACCAGCGGTCATTCAGCAGGTATTATTGGCGTTCAGAGATTCCTAAACTCTTTTCCTCTGGGCCGCATTTTCGCGCCTCACCAAATTTTACGTGATAAACATTACATTTAAAAAACGAAAAAACAACGAAGAGTTTAAAGGGAGATAACCACGTATTCAAAGTCAGAACATTATCATTGATAACTCTCTCCTCTAATTTGCAGACCCTACTTACTACATTCTTAATACTTGATATATTGCAATAATATCACAATGATAAAATCGGTTAATAATTATTTATAACTGTTTATACTGGGACTCATGCATGACTTGTGTTATGCATAATTAGATTTTAAATTTTGAAATTATATTTATTTTAGCATAAGAATCTATTGAGAATGATTTTAGATCTTTGATTGTCTTTCAATCATTCCGCCTCACCTGCTATCCTCTTTCTCCGCACCGTTTGGGAACGACTGGTCTGGAGTTAGCCTCCAGAAAAATATCTGAAAATCCGACGAAGCCAAACAAAGAGAGAGAAAATTTAAAGGAGTCTACGCGTAAGATGAAGATGACGTGGCAAAAATGTGATTGAAAACGAGGCTGATAAAAGAAGTATTTTTGTTAAAAAAAAAAAAATGGCGGGAAGAAAAAAAATCTCTTTGCTTACGGATTGAAAACCTATCATTTTTCCCGAACAATTAGAAAGTTCACGTGACAGCTTGAGGATAAAGCGCGCGAATGCAGGAGCCAATTAAATGTCCTACAATTATCTCTCTCCATAATTTGGCATATCGTGTTGAACGTCACAGTTAAACAGGGTTGATTCCTTCTTTTTCTTTTTGCTCTTTATTATAATAATTTCATCCTTCATCCCTGGGGTTAGCGGTATTTATGTATTACCACATTATATCCTCTGCGGCAAGATTCTGACAAATTTCAGTTTTTCTTTTTTGTTCTGCCGATTAGCAAATTCGATATAAAAAACAAATATAACTTGATAAACGGTTCGAAACGGGTTGCTTACATTTTTAGGCAGAGTAGTATCCAGTTGGTTGTGAGGCTGTTTACAATCTTAAAATGCAATATACAACAGAGGACAAATCTCGACTTTTCTTTAATATCATGCGAATTTCTCAAAACAGTATGTGTCTGGTTGTCTTTTTTTTTTTTTTTAAATCATTTCACCCTAAGCAAGGCGGGAATGCCAACATGACCCACAATTGTGAGATGGAATAGAGTGGTGACTACAGCGGAGGCGCAAAATGCCCTAACTCTAAAAATGAAAGGACAAAAGATGAACGAGATTCAAGAAGATAGAAAATGATTATTGACGTTGCATTTAAACTTTTGAATATTGTAGTTATCAGGGTAGCAAATAAACGGAAGGAGTTCCACAGGCAGGAAGTGCGATAAAATTAAATGTCGGAATAGAATTGGCGGCTTCATTCAGTTATTTCAACAGTAAAACAGTGATATTAGTACGCTTAAATTCATGTAATTGAAGCACCAGGGAAAAAAGCTCGCCAGAACAGTTGCCATGAAAATATTTGTAGAAAAGACAGAGGGAGGTCACCTCACGTCAATGATGAAGTCGAGATGCTTGGTCAGGATCGATTATATTACAGAACCTTCTTTGACATTTGTCCAGAATCCCGAGATGCATTGCAGGAACACCAGACCAGATAAAAATGAAGTTTTTAATGCACGGACGAATGGTATATTTGTTTATGTGCAACATTCCTTGCAGTAGATGTAGCTATTGATTCGACGTTGGCGCTCCACTTCAAGTCAATCGAAAACCGGGGCTATGAAGACGCAGTGTGTTGCTCTACAGGAGACTAGCCTCAGCCACGCTGATGACAGACAGAAAAGATTCTCTATGGTGGTTGAATGAAAACAGATCTGCTGCCTTTTCGTGCTCTAATATAATGTTTACAAACAGACACATCCATTTTGCCAAGTTTATGTTAAAAATTTCAGATACGAACACATAAATGTATGTTTTGAACATCGCGTTGGAATAGCGTAAAATATGCAGATGAAACTGTATTGTTTGCAGGAATAGAAGACAAATACATGACCCACGAGGAAAGGTATTAAGGGAGAATGAAAGAAAGGGACTGACTATCAACTGTAAGAAGACAGAATCTATGTCTGCTAGCAAGAGATAAAGCACAAGATACGAACTCCAAATTGGTGATGCCAACATTAAACAAATGCGGAAATATAAATCTCTGGGAAGTCTTAAAAGAGAGGATAGAACATGTGACAAGAAGCATTGGAACCGAAAAAAATGCGTTCCAAGAACTAAATATAAGAAAAATGGAGGTCTCGTTAGAAAAAAAGAAAAGAGAGAGGATATGCTATATGATATAAATCCTCCTATATTACTGTGAATATTGGCAATTTCTTCAGAGACAAAGACTGGAGGCAACAGAAACGTGGTTCTACAGAAAGATGTTGAGAATATAATTGATGAAGGAAGAAGTTTTAAGAAAGATGGAAGCAAAAACGATAATTCTAATTAAAATAATGAAAAAAAAGCCTTTGAAATGTTTAGGTGACGTAATGAGAAGGTGAGAACTGGCGCCTCATGACAAGCTGCTTCGAGTAGATGCAGCTAGACAGCCCGGGAAAACAGTTCACCTAGGGAAAGGAATAGCCTTTATTTTACAACTCCACTGCCTTGTCGTTAAATCCAAAACACGGAAATGTTTATGGAAGTAGATCCAGACAGAAAGTCCGAAGTGAAGCCCCGAAGGCGGTTGCCTGTCAACACTGCAACTTTCTGTCGACTCCTGCAGCCAAGACATACGCAAATGTAATGCCCTGTATTCTTTTGGATCTTGTTGGTACGGCCGAGAGGGGGACAAGTAAGTCTACAGCGCACGTCCTTCATATACTATCGACAGTCTAGAAGAATGAAAACTTTGATTTGAAACCACCTGCTGCGTTGTAGGTCTTAAATCTTTAACCCTTAATAGGAGGGACACGTTAACGTCAACATTGCAGGTGCAGAAAAAAAAAAAAAAAAAAACAAGAGAAGAAAGCCATTGGACTATTTTGCCTTGAATGCCGATATGACTCATAATTGGGAGATGGAGGGGAGCGGTGTCCACAGCGGCGGCGCAAAATGCGCTAACTCAATAAATGAATGAATGAGGATTGAACGTTTGGAAACTTGGCACTCTCAGGAAATATGCAAAGCAAGATGGTTGTATATGAAACTGTGGTAGAACTTCAGAAACAACAACTTCTATTTACGTGACACTTAGGGACGTAGGGGATTGTGGCTCTTCACAACGTCCTATACTTTGTAGCTCTTGTAGTTGCGCTTTTACGATCCCTTTTAATCCTTATTCTTACATATATTAACACAAGTCCGTTAGGTAGACTAATCGCTACTTTCCTCTAAAAAAATATATATATATATATATATATATATATATATATATATATATATATATATTTCTGAGATGAGGTATTATGTACAGTATTTACATTATTGGAACTATTGTCCTCATCTTTGTCGCCATATTTATTACAACGTTTCGGCCGTTGTACGCTCAGGCTGCTTCAACTGAACCCTATATTTCGCTCACTGGGGTAGACTGTTCTAGTTCCACGTGCCATTGTAAAAATTCCTAAACTTAAGAAATCAGCACATATGCTAGGCCACAAAAATCTCCTGAGCCGACCAAGCATAGAAATGAATACAATATGGGAAGCAGTAATAAGGAGTGACAGAGAAAAGCGATAATATCAATAAAAATCGCTATATGAGCTCAGTTAAAAACATGTAATGATAACAGCAAAAAATTGCAATATGAGCACTGCTAAAAATGGTTGATGAAGATATTAGGTTTATAATACCCAGAAATTCATACACTGATGTCCTCAAGGACACATCACATGGCACAGTGGATAAAGGCGTTGGTTAGATCAAGTGACAGGACCCAAAGAGTGTGAGTTCAATACCCGATTAAGGCAGTGGGGAACTTTCAGAGGGAAATTGACAGGAAATAACTGACATCCATTAAACATGGAACGTGGAACTAGAACAGTCTGCCTCAGTGAGCGAAATAAATGGTTCAGTTCGACATTACTACCACCTGAAGAAGGCCGGAGCATACAACGTCCGAAACGTTGTAATAAATATGGCGATAAAGATGAGGACTGTAGTCTGAATAATGTAAATAGTATATATATATATATATATATATATATTCTTTAACAGTTTGAGGCCATCACCCTGGTAATTTTTTTAAATTGGCCCAAAATGTAGTTGTTTGTACTTTAAATAAGAGAAAATTACTACACATGGTTAGAAAAAAGCGAGACGTGATTTTTATTAGAAGTTATATTATGACAAAAAAAAAACATTTTGTGATTAAATCTGGCTCTCGCTTCTTTACCCTTGATTACGACAGGACAATCTTTTGGTATTCGTTACAAAAATTTGTCAAAGTATAAGTTTGAGAATTGATTACAATCTTTTTTCAGTGACTCTAAGAGATTTTTCATTTTTTTCGCTCTTCAGTAAAGTTCATCCGATGCTAATTCTGGGGTGGCTACAAACTTTTGAACTGTAGATTATCTCTCTCTCTCTCTCTCTCTCTCTATATATATATATATATATATATATATATATCTATATATATATATATATATATATATATATATATATATATATATATATATATATATATATATATATATATACTTGTAGGCAATCGTGCAAAACCCTCCCAGGTCGACCAGGACTATCCACACTGTCGCTGATCGATGAAGATAACATCGATCTCAGACCCGTACTATTCCACGTTGTGATTTAAGTTTGATCATAAGAAGGCCAAGATCGAATCGTCACAGGTATCTTCGTGTTGTGCTGGTCCAAGCAATGCGAAGACGTGCAGAGAAAAAAAATAACACTCGAATAAATTGAACAAAAGTAAATACTGTTTTTATATCAATCCTCCGTACAATAATTGGTTTGTATCAGAGTTCACAT